ACTATATATATATATATATATATATATATATATATATATACAGGATTTATAAAAGCAAATAGTACGTTTGATACAGCAGAAGAAAAGCAATATTGAAATTAGTAATTCCATATTTTAAGATAAAATATGGAATTACTTCTATTTTGCAAATCATGAAACCAATTTAGAAACATTTATTAGAAATAACATCATTGATATAGAGGGTACTTCTATTTTGCAAATAAAGGTAAGTATGCACCTAGCATGCGTACAAAAAAAGACCTAAGATATTGAACATGATGTCAACGATAGATGCATGACCTCAATTAGCAAAGCAGTCATCTAAAATCAGCATAGAACAGGAAACGGCATATGATAGGTACCATCGTACTAGTACAAAGCACATGAATTTCCAACTGCTCGAGTTACGAACTGAAACAGAAATCCTGAGGAATTTAAAATGAGGAGACACATTTAGTAATTTGAACCATTTTCACAGCCCCCCAATACTAAAATTGTCCAACATTCCAAGGGTTCGTAAGTATATGCCACGGTGAATTACGTCGAACCTTTTTCCAGTTCATCGCAACACAACTAAATCCACCAAATGCTTCCGATCAATAGAATTAGCGACAGCAACGAAGAATCTTCGAACTCGCTCGAGGGTACATCAGTTCTTAAAACGCTATGAGGAGAATCGAAGCGGACAGAATTAGGGTTTCAGAGTAATTTTCGTTCACAAAAATCAACAACCACGCTAGATTTGTAAGAAATCACGATTCCTAACAGAAGAACGACGACAACTATGGACGAAAAGTAAGGGAGAAATACAAAACGAGAAGGCCAAAGCTAGATAGCCGCGATTACCTCCAGAAAGGAAGCATTGAGCGGATGGTGCTGTTATTCCCGCCACCGAGCTTCCAATTAGGGTTTCGTGAAGATTTGCAGGAGGAAAAAAGAGGGACTAGGGTTTTAATCCCCCCGTCCGCGTCGCGAGAAGATCGTCTTATCCTGTTCGGACACCAACCGGTCCGTCCGGTCCGACCCGACCGCCGACCCGGTCCGATTTCCTTTGCCCCGACATAGTATATACTATATACAAACAGACGCGCGGGGGTCGCGCACGAGCATGTCCGAACGTGGTCCGAGCATTCGCTCCACGACCGAAGAAGACCTACATATTTAGAATTTTACGAGGTGGGAGAGTTGTCACCATAAGAAAAAGCAACACTTTCATGACGACATCTATCAGATTCAAATCTCGATCCAATATATGTCGACTTGTACTAATAATAACAATTAATAGATATTGAAAGGTGGATGAATCTGAGATGCGGTTCCATGATACCTAAGAATATTTTCAGCGACTCGGATGGCACCACGTACGAATCTACAATTGCAGCAACATGCTAGATAATTGAAAAGCAAAAAACCTCAAATGGTACAACTAAAATGTACATTCTTTCATCCATATATACAAAAAATATATATATATATATTTGCATCTCAGAGTGATATCTCGATAGAAAGACAATCTCCCAACTCCTGCAAAATCTAGTCAACAGACATCATAAGAGCAATGTGGCGATAGAAAGCTGCAAAAGAAAATCCCTAGAACAGCAAGCTTTGATTGGAAGGATCAGTAGAACAGGGGATGCAAGAGAGAAAGAGAAAAGACAGTAAAGAAGGAACCGAAATAAATCCAAGAACAGGAAGCGTTGATTGAAAGGAGCAGTGGAAATAGGGGAGGGAAGAGCAACGGCGTGAGAAGACAGAGGGGAAAACCCTGAATGGTTCAAGAAGAAAATAAACGAAAAGAAACACAAGAAGAGGGTTTTAATTGATATCATTATAAAGTCGGTAATCATAAAATTATGAATTGAATAGGTGAGGTATGATCTGGAGTGTTATAATCCCACAATTACAACAACAGAACCAATCCGAAGCAAAATGGGTCAAATAGTTCGAAAGTCCCAACCATTTCTTTCATTGTGTCCGATGGCAAGATGCAACTTCGAAAGAAATGACTCAATAATTCACGACTCCAATTGGAGGCCCTGTTTAAACATCATAGATATTGAAATTACTCATAGAAAACATTAATACAAATGCCTGTGGCAACAAAAAAGGGAAAAAAAGAAAGGAATGGGAACTACAAAACTGCAGCTGGAGCTGGAACTTAATACCATTGCAGTTTCAGCTGCATCCCCCTCGTGAACACAATGTTCATTGTCTTGCTAATAAAAGCCTCTTCCCTTTCTAATTTCTATACATGATCATCGACAATACCTACACTTGATCATGATCAGGCCCTGTTTCTTCAAACCAGGTTGCCGCTGCCGCTATTTACAAGCTCGGCCGAGGACGCCGTGCGAGCTGGGTCAAGGAGTGCCAAACGAGCTGGTAAGGCAACCGGCTTATCCGAGTACACCACCCTCGTACTTATGCGGTTGTCATGCAAAACAAAATAATCATCTGCAATAAAAACTCAAGCACAGCTGCATGGTTCTCCAAAAGAAATATAAGCCAATTGCATGATTTCCGCCAGCAGGGATTAGCTGCTGCGATTTGCACCAATACCAGCTCCAATCCAATCTGTTACAATGATATAAGAGACAAATATGAGTAACTTCATTTCAGAACCGAGCAGCAGATAGCATACTTCTGAAAATTTTATTTTAAAAGATATATCATATAACAAAAATGAAAAGAGATTAACAGTATAAAGCTATTGATATGCTCCCCTATATTAGTAGCAAGCTGTAGTGAATCAGAAACAAGATCCCTAAAATTTACAGTGGCAATTCCAAAAAATATTTTAGATAAAAAAAATTTTGAAGCTTTGATCATGCTAAACCAAGGAAGACTTGATATGTGCAACTAGTTGTGTAAATATAAATGCTAACCAAGAAGAGGTAACTGATCATTGACAATTAGATGAATGGAGAAAGAACTCATACCGCTGATTGGCATCTCTTCTACTTTGTGGCACACTTGACCTGCTGGCAAGCCTGCGAGTCCCAAAGGCCCCAAGCTACTCTAGCAATGATACAGCCCTGACCCATATCTACAAATGTAACTGCCTCAGAGAGTTTATGTTTCATATGGCCTCTAGGGTTATTGATGCTTTTGTAAAAACAGACAGTATGAATGGTGCTTCTTCTCCAGGTTGGATAGTTGTTGGCACTATTGTGTATCCTTTAGAATAAGGTTCCAATACCAATTCACATGATACCTCTCTTGAATTGACATAATCAGTCCCACCAACTGATTCATGCAAGTAAATATTGTATGCAGCACGACGTCCGCGAGTCTTGAGTATCCTCATTCCAATATAAAATAATGAAGAATCATGACTAGATTGGAAATTCCTGAATGCATTGCTCTTTCTGGAGAAGCTCACACCCTAATAATAAATGCATAGAGAACAAATAATTAGATCGGCCCTGCAATATGATGTTGATATGCAATTAATGACCATATACATACCTGGGTGAGGGTGATAAACACATGAATTGGGAAAGATGCCTCAGGCCCAGTTGCTCTCAACCTGAACTGAGGATTCTGATGCCAAGATTCATAATCTTGGCAGCCCCCAGCACTATAGCCACGCCACTGCCCATGGACAGAGTAGCGCATCTCTGGTGGGTATATTCGACAAACATATATGGACCGAAAGTGAATCTGAAAATCTTGCCAAGACATCCAAAATATCCCATCCTTCGACTGTTGAACAAGGAGATAGTCAGAAAATTTGCACAAGAAGCTTGTTACATGTGTATTTGGCAGTCACGATAATGTGACCTAGTTGCTATCAAAGAATTCCTCAAGTAACACATTGTTAGCAGGCCAGCATTATAAATGACAACATATAAGACCAATTAAAAAAGACCATGATAAAAGAATTGGCTGAATAAACACCTGAGGTACATGCTTGAGCTTATGCTTCATTCGATCACTCCATTCAGGTGATGTGTCAGACCAAGGGCCATTCCACTCAACTTCATTAGCCCAGGGATTTCGAATCTGAATAAGCTTATGGCCATCTACTTCTCGTACCTGGATCACCAATTGAGAAAGAAGATATGGTTACAGCATATCTAGCAAAGAGTAATTGGGGAAACAATGTTAATAATTTCAGCATACCTGCAATATTGAGTAAGCATGTCCTTGGACAATTCCACTTGATGAAACATGTACATCTGAACCTGATGGACTACCAGCACCTAGTAGAAAACCTTCCCTTTTAAAATGCAACAACTGAGACCATAACCTTCCACTCGCAAGATCAATCTGTGCCTGAGCAGTTCTCATGTCTATCTCTTCCCCAGCTCCACCTGTAAGATCGACTAGTGCATCTTGGACAAGCCCACCTTCCAATGCCTCATAAGAACCATGGAGCTTGGCATAAGCTTTCTCCAAGACGGAAACCCAGAGTTCATTCCGTTTCCTACTAGTTGCAAATGCTGGTTTTCCAGGAGATTCACAAGGAATCCAATCATCAACTACCACAGGGACCCACTCACCCTACATGGACAAGGTCAGACTTTTCACCAACTACCATACTCATGAAATGAACAATACTGAAATATTGGCATAACAATGCTGAAATATTGGCATAACACACATAAGTGAATAGTTTCTACAACAACAGATGTGATCAAGGGGAAAAGGCAATGATAACAAAATATGATACCAGATAAGGAAACCAACAGCACTCGTAAACTTGTATCTAGACCAATCTTCATTAAGACCAAAGCACATTGCAAACAGTAAAAGGTTAGAAAATGTTGATCATCAACACTAATAAATGAATGAGAATCAAGGCTAGGATATTAATAGAAATTAATTTGGTTTTACGCTAAGATCATTCATTAATGCTATTTATTTACTGTGGTAAGCTATCATAGGTTTACATCAAGTGTCAACATGTATCTATTCAATTTAAATCATTATTAGCAATTGCAAGATAATCTTCCATTGTGCCAATGTTTTTAAATGCGCTAGGCGCCAAAGTCCCGAAACGCCAGAGGCGAAAGGCGCCCGCTCGAGCTAACTCCAAAATATTAAATTTTAAAAAATAAATATGATCATAAAAATAAAACTGACACATCAAATTGAAATTATATAAACAATGACACATCCACAATGTTTTCATATCAATGTGATATATGTGGCTAAACAAAAATATGCTAAATGGGTTTCTACTGATGGAAACCTATGCTAAAAATGTTTCTAACTGATGCTAAACAGCAAGGTTCGTCGCACCACGGTATACCGCCCAATATGGGCATATTGGTACATACCGATCCGACAAGGGACCGATGTGGGCGGTATGAACCGATATGTCGGCAAACCCTACCATACCATGCGTCAGTACATTAGTACGGATCGATACATACCGTACCAACGATTGGTCGATACACCGATATGGACCGATAAGACGAACCATGCTAAGCAATTCTAAAGAGTGGGTCAATATAGTACTAAACAACTCTAATCAATGCATAACAATTCTAAAGAGGGAACTGAGAAGAGGAGTAATCGATGGTTGTGGAGGAAGGTGGGGGAAAGAGAGGGCAGCGGGCGAAACTGCGGATGAAGGCAGCGATGGTGGACGAAGCTGTGGATAAAAGTGGCAGCGACAGCCGTAGGGTTTCACTTATAGTTTGTCTCAGTGGGTAGGATGCAGGTTTTGTGTTAGGGTACATTAGTTGGTTCGATTGAACCAACTTGCACGTTCAATCAAACCACGCTCGAACCCAGACCCAACTTCACATGGGCATTTGCCCGAGGCGTCCGGCACTTGTGCTCTGGCAAGCGCCCGAGCAGCACTTCATCAAAACGCCTTGCTCGGAGCAGCACTTTATCAAAACGCCTTGCTAAGTGAGCGCCCGAGCGCCTTATGAAAACACTGCATTGTGCACGTTATCTGTTGATGAAATTACTGTGTTTGATGAGTTTAAGTAGCTTTGAATATAGACATGAACTATAAAGTCATAAAGTAAAAAAAATATGGATTTAAACGAGCAGAATTAAACTATACATACGAAGCACAACTTTAGCATACAAAGTTTATAGATGAGATTAAAATCAAAATAGATGTACACGATGCTTCCAAAAGTTAAAAAGAGAAAAGATAGCATAGATATCTTATCTTATTAACAGGAAGGGGAAAAAACTGGTTATCCTGTTTTGAACCCTCTTAGCTAAGTAAACTAGTGCTTTCGATAGAGGCAAAAAAGGTACCTGAATGCAAAATCGAACTGTATATATTCCCTCCTCATTGAACTCTGGTGTAATTATTACTTCTGATATACGAGACACCTCTGTTAAAACAGCAACAGCACTTAAAAACCAGCAGTCACCTAATCTACCCTGCAAGGGAGGTCAAAATTTCAATAATTTTAATGGGAGATTCTGAAACAGTAATTCATTAACATTATTAATCTTTCTTTATTTAGACATAAAGAAAAGACAACAGTTGAAAACCATAATTTCTTGGTGATAACAGTAGCCAATAAGCAGTACCTGACAAACATCTGAGGAGTTAACAAAACCAGAAAATAAACAAGGCCGAGAACTGATACATCTTATTTTCACTAAATCAGTTGGTCTCATCCACTCAGAAACAACCTGCAGTAGTGAACAAGCATTAGAAAGCATAACAGTAAGACAACACGATAGCAAGTTTTTTTAATTAAGCTAAAGGTTCCATGAGACAAATCAATGGACAAAATACTTGCCTGCAACTTTTGAGGAGGATTTACTGGATCCACATACAAAGAACGATCATTTGGAGGAAAATCCTGGTCAGTAAAATGTGTCTCCCCTTTAGCTAAAAGAGCCTCTTTGACAGCCGTTTCAACAGATAACATACGTTGATTGATTTCCTCTTGAGTTTCAAACCGAGGTTTCCTCAGTTTTCTGGTAAAGATATCCATATCAAGTGTCACAGCTTCATGTGCTGACCTCCTTTTCCTGCCACTTGAATATTGACCATCCCAATCTACATCTTCCCTGTCATAAAGTTCCACTTCTGCTTCTTCACTTTCCCAGTCATCTACCTATATAATTTTAGGGCATAGATCAAAAACCTTAGAAGGAATAGTTAAATAAGAAGAATAAATAGCTAGCAAATATGTCATTTAGGTGTCACATGCATGGAAAGATAAGCATTTGCATTACTTTATGTAAAAGTGGACAGAAAAACTATAATCATTCGCCATTAAACAGCTCCAGAGATCCAATTGCAACAAGAATGTGGAACAAATTTGTTTTAGAATAGGAACCTTTTAGTTTAAGATTAACAAGCTAAAGATTTCAAAGATAGAGTCAGAGCATCCCTCCAGTACACCATCTATTCCTTTATTTTATGATCATATACAAAAAATTCTGAGTCAGACCAAATTCCGATACAATTTATAATGATGCTGAACCCAAATGAACTAACCAATCATTCTTACTATATACTCCTTACTCATATATGTACCAAAATTCTTAATGGTGCATATCCATTATGGGATAAAATATACACCAACTTTAATCCTTGCAAAGAAGTCGTTTCGTATGACAGTATATGTTGCAATGAAATTATAATTGCACAATCAGAAAAAGAGTACAAAAATAAAAATAAAAAATCAAATAAAATAGCTAACTGTGTCAAATATGCCAAGAATAGTTATCAAATAAAATAGTTATCAAATAAAATAGTTTATGTCAAATATAGGACACTTGCAACAAGGGATAAGTCTATCCTGATTAGAAAAGCCACAAAGGAAGCAACACCATGCATTAAAAGAGTTGAGCTTGAAAAGAATCCATAAAGGACTTCGGGTGAATGTTTAACATAAACTAGCATATGGCAAGTTATGAAAACTGACAATAGAAAAAGACATCTAGAAATGAAGGTACTTGGCTAAGACATAATACACAGATAAGCATGAACTGGCTCGAAACAACTCCTTTTTCAGAAGTGCCTTCAACTCAATCAAGCACCTCCTGGTTTTTCATGCACAACATTGCTTGCAATGGCAAGAAACAGAATATGTATAATATATACCACTGCAGCAAGACCATAATACAAGCAGGGTAAGAATTCCTAAATCCTGGCTTACTGTTAAAAGAAATAGTCACGATAATATGATCACCCACTTATCAAACAAGCAAAAGAGTCAGTTGCAGCATTAACAAAGATATAGCAAAGTATCCCCAAGTCGCATGACCCTTGGTTGATTGAAAAATTTTAGCAGAAAGCTTCAGTAAATTAGACTAGTGGGCTGCTATTGGTGATTAAGCCCCAGACTGTCAAAGTCTCAACAAGGTTGCCACTACATGTAAGAGGGCACATCTAGAACTGAAGGGACAGTTAGATGCATCTTTTCCTTCTATTTTATTCTCCCTAGAATATCCATATTAATATGTGTTTTGATAGAAATCTATGCTTTCTGTCAGCTATCTAACAGAAATCCAATTTCGGAACTTGCTCAATCATGTTAGAGTTCAAGAATCTGGAACCTAAGACAACTTATAGTTATGTCCCCTGAAAAAGGCCCAACATCTTTAAGAAATCAACACAGATAATGTAAGCATGACTGGAACGGAGCCAATAAGGAGAGGTATATGTATAGTTTTAACATGACAAAGCGCATCATGCTCAAAAGAGTAGTAAAGTTGGTTCACACAAACAAGAAAAGCTGACATACCCTTGAAGGTGAATCACCTAGGTGCCAGACATCCCCAGAGAGATCAATCAAGTCATATGCAGCAGTGCCGACCGCAGCATGGAGTGCAGCTATCTCATCCTCTGTTAAGCACCTTCCCCATAAGAAAGCATCCATTATTTGCATTTTAGAATCAACACCTTCGCTATCAGACCTTCCAAATGCGTCCAAATCTACAGGTGGTCTAACTCCAGCCCAGACACTTGTCCCCTCCTCCCAGATGCAACTAGTCCCCTGAAGCAGTGAGACACTTTGATATCCATCATAACCTCCATCTATGTAGGATGTAGCCTCACCTAATTCGGCATCTAAAGTCACCGTCACAATATGCCACCTGTAGATCAGTACAAATTTGCATCACCAAACAGGCAGGTTAAAGGAGATTGTATTATGGCCATGAATATAATACAAGTATACTGATATGAAAAACTCTGAACTGAAGCTCCTGAAGAATATCAAATGCAAAGATTGAGAAAAAAAAAGTAATGTTGATAACTCCACTGACAGCTCATACCTTCCATCTGTTATGCTTGCAGAGCCTATACTACATTCTTTAGCAACAGTTGTCAGCCTGTCACCCTTGCTAATCAATCTGAGACCAACCTGTCCAGCCTCTATGCCTTGTTCAGAACCTGCAACAAGAATTTCCCAGCAGAGCTTCTTTTCATATTCAGTTCCTATTAGACAGACAGGACCAGACTCAGGTTGAATCATCACGGCAATGGAGAAGGTAACCCTTTGACTATGACAAAGACTAGGATGAATCTGCCCACAATGTCTGCCTGAACTCCTAGGCTCATCATCGAGTATGCACACTGCACCTTGGATGCCAGTCTGTGGAGTTCATGTTTGAAGGTTAGCGAATACATGGTCAACACATAAATAAGTAACATCTTAACATATATTCTAATATGAATACATTTCAGAGGCAAAAGCAAGACATGATATATATGACTACATCAACCAGGTGTATCTGGTCAGGACATGTCTAGACAAGATTGCCATTTGGAACAAGATGTGTTGTTTCAGAGTTCAAGGCACCACAAGTTGCAACACGCATGTTTATCAAAGGCTTCAATAATAACATTCACCTACAATTTTCTTGTATTATATAAAAGATTGACAAACAGCAGGAACTATGAGCACCGAAAGACTACAATGACTTTTAAGTTCTAACACAAGGAGAATTTCTGTCAACAAAAACTTGTCCCTAACTCGGTAAGTGTGTATATATCAAGGAATATCATATCACATACCGGACATCGGTTCCTGGCCAGACCGGTACATACAGGTACAACCTGGTGTCTGACACAGTACACCAGTACATACCTACACATAGCATGCCGGTGTTTGGAAGACGAAGAAGATGAAGGAGAAGAAGAAGCCACAGTGGAGGAAGTGGAGGAAGGATGAAAAAGGAGAGAAGAGGAAGCAATGGAGAAAGAGGAGGAAGGAGGAAGAAGGAAGAAGAGGAACCAGTAGAGGAGGGAAGAAGAGGAACCGAAGGAGGAAGGAAGAATAGGAACTAGTGGAGGAAGGAATAAGAGGGACCAGTGGACAAGGAAGGAAGAAGGAAGAGGAAGAAGCGTACAGGGAAGGACAGCGGCGGTGCTACAAAGGCGACAGCGAATGACAGTAGCGACAGTGTCCAATATCAGCTGCTCGAAGGCGATTCCATGCTCCCGGCAAGAAGAGGGCACATGGTGGATTGCACTATGGGGTACTGTGCCATTAATCAAACTACATATGGGTAGGTCACAGGTTCCATTAATTTTATTTGCATTCCTGAGCTTTAGATGACAATACTTTTGCAAATTCTAGTCCAGCATCACTTTCAGATATCTTTAAACTGTCCTATTCTTTGGCCCTTCTAAGAGCACTTCTAGTTGATGTAGACAATATCTTTCTGGAAAATTTGCAGTATATTTTCACATTTATAGAAAAAGCTTGTGAGAGAAAAGGATACCTGCTCTGCTCGGCGAGCCAATTCTGCTGTGCGAATGTGGCAAGCAATACTGGATATGCGTTCCCTAGCAAAAGAATCATCCAAAACAGAGTCGCCTCCAACAGCACGCACTGCAGCAGCCATAGCTGCAGCCTCCCGGTTTCCAACATTGGGAATTGAAGCCAAAAGAGAAGCTTCAATCTCCTTCCATTTCCTCTCTTCTTTCTCCAATAGTGCCTTTCTCCTTTCTTTTCCTTTGCCCTCCTCTTCCCTTCTCTGCATTAAGATTTCCTCTTCCATCTCTTTTTCTCGTATATAGCTGCAAAATTATAACAAACATTTTTATCAGCATATCAACTAAGGTAATCATTCAATGTAGACATAACATAGATGTGGAAGACTATTTCAAAATGCTCACCTCTCCTGAAGAACCTCAAATTGCCTGCGATCTTCAGGCATCCATTTCTTAATCTCTTTGGCACTTAAATCAGATAGGCCTATGCTGTCAAGAAAAAGTCTAAGGCGGACTTCATCCTGACACAAGATTAAAGCACGAACGTAAGAGACATATCATTAACAAAGTTTTAAAGTGATGTATTTGCTTACTTGTACTTGTTCAGCTTTAGCAGTCAAACCCAACAAAAGAAGTAAATAACCACCAAACTTGTCCCACATATATACCCATTCAGTGTCGATTGCCTCTTCCAATGCCAGAATTCGTGCATGTGCACACATTTTTCTCTTGTAGTCTGCATCACTCAAAGACTCACGATGATACATGAGGCCATTTTTTACTCCACAAAAGAATAAACCAGCAGCAATTTCTTCATTTCTGAGACGATCTCTCAATTTCATGACATCTGCTCTTGGAAGCATAAAGTTTCCAGCTCTATCCCGTGTAACTGTAGGGTCACCAATTAAAAGAGCAGCTGAACTGGCAGACCTCTGAGGTGCTGAATAAGTACCAGCTAATGCATTTCGAGTCTGTACTTCCCACCAAATGAAATAAATTCATATTATTTTACTATTAATGTACATAAATTCAAGATAAAGAAATTGCTAAAATTTTGACATGACATGTAATACAGCATGCTAAGATGAAACAAGCTTTATTTGAAGTTAAAAGCAAGAAGAATTTTAAATAGAATAGGATCTAGCCCAGCATATCTTATGACTTTATAGTCATGGTTAAATATGGGTCATAAAATCAAAACACACGATTCACCTTGCTACAAGTTCTACATATTTATATATTTGGAATAAGTTAGAGGAATAATAGAAAGCCACAAAAACAACTAACAGGATAATTTAATGCAAGAAGCAAAAATAATATGGCAAGTGCCAATTGTACATGCTTTCTAAAAGACCTCAACAGGCCAATATGAAATATATTAGTGTGATACATCTACATATATAAGTGGATATGTGCATATAAATTCTGGCACATAAGGATGAATGCAAACAAACAAAAACATAAAGACGAACAAGATAACTATCTAAGTGACAAAACCCTAAGATCTCTTTGGGATGGGGAATTGATTTCATGGGACCTCTACAGAAGTTCCAAGCAGGGATTTCTCCAAATGCCAAGTACGAATCAAAATTTGTAAATGACTGGGGATTGTCGGGCATTGGATACATGGATAAGAATTTGAAAGGTTATGAATCTTGGGATTCAATTCTATGAGTACCCTTGTTAACTTGAACAAGGGATTTTCATGAGGGTGGAAATGTAGTACAGGATTGTGAGGGTGGGACTTTAAAGGTGTTTAGCTTGACTTTTTATGAATGTGTCATTTGAATGATGGGATTTGAAAGTAGAAATTTTCCGATGGGATTTTCATGGTGTTTGATTAACATTCTCCAAAGGAAATATTTAAGGAAACCCATACAGAAGCAGGGCCTATGAAGACAAAAGATCCAGAAAGGCAGGAATAAAAGAAACAAAATCTGGACAAAATAGAAAATAAAAAAACAACATGAAAGTTATAAAACTTACAAGGTAACCTCAGAGACAATTTACTCTAGGCCGAAGACTCACCTTTGTGGCAGATCGTGCAATTGCCTGCACAACAGTGTCCTTGCTAAGACAGCGTACAGCATCCTCCATCATCTGGAAATACAACACATTTATTAGCAGGGCAGACAAGTAGAAGGCATGTACCTAAGAGGCTAAGACTATAACAACAAACAAGAAAAATAAGAGGGAGTATTCAGAAGTATGCTCGTGCTGACCCTTATCCAGAACAGGAATGTACCAACCTTACATGTCAGGCAAGAACGGGATACAGCAAAACCAAAGGCAACAACAAGAGTAATAGCTGATACAGCAGCACCAGCAAACGGAGGGTATATTTTCAGGCTAGCAATGACACCCCATCCCTCAGTTGCTAAAGCAATGCCATATAAAATAAGAATCGCATGGCTGTTGAAAAGAATCAAATTGTCAGTGATGAAAATATAAATAGGTTATCAAACATGGAAAAAGAAAAAGAAAAACATACATATCTGATGATCAAGCAAACTTTATATTTAATTTGGAAAAATTAACCCAAATAAAGTGGTTTTAGACAAACCTAACATTTTTTGCACAATCTGCATGAGCATCATAAATATAAACTGGTAAAACCCTTGGCGAATATACAACAATTGGGGGTGAAAGAAGCACCTGATAATGGAGAGGAAAAAGAGAATAATTAGTGCCATGAACAATGGGAAACAAATTATAAAGAAAGTATCAACAGGATTATGGATAAAATTATATGCTATACAGAAGAATACTAAGACGAGACGAAAAACAGTTTTTAAGAGGATTATATAACATACAGTCAACGCCCTCCCTGCTAGCAGAAACAGAAAAGAGAAGTATCCTACAGATGCACCAACAAATGGTTTGCCTGCAACAAAATTAATTTCTCAACTTGTAAGAAAAACTTAGGAAAAAATTGTTCTAATTATTAATAAAAATACCAAAAGTGAATGACATTTTCCACCTTCAAAAAGCCCCAAAATAAATGCAGCCAGAGCCAGAAGAAAAACAAGAAAGCAAACAAACAACATTTGAGTCCTTGTCAGAAAGAAGTTATTTGATGCCCAATAGTGAATTACGGCAATTGCAAGGAGGATAAGAAGTATAACTAAGAGGAAAGCAACCCCAACCTGTCAAATGCAATAAATAGCTGTAAGCTTATAAAAAATGATAATCATCACAAACAAAATATATAAGATATTATATGTAGCAACAATTTTCAAACCACACTCACCGTCCAAGGTGTTATCAAACATGTAAGTGCTGATATTGCACCAAGCAATAACATAAACCCAATGCCGACAAAGACATAAACTCCACGGGAAAGTTTCCAATCATCATCTTTCCTGCAAATCAAGTTTGAAAATCTCATATTTCAGTGTCTCGAGATGCAGCTAAACGACTATAGCCAAGACATATTTGCTTACCATTTATATAAACCAGTGAAGAGACACAAAAAGGCAGGAATGCATATCAATGGAAGTAAAGCAGCAAGAAAATCGGCCTTCATTGGAATTCTGTCCTCTCGCGAACTCACCACCCCCCAGTATGATGCGCCAGAGAAGGTAACAAGAACAACTAAAGCAAAATAAGTAACTTTTATTACAAGCTTTCACCAAAGATGATGCCGAGTTATGTAAGGCATCATGCAAAGTGAGCTAGACATGGCATATACATGGACGGTGTAGCAGCATCATGCAAATTGAAACGTTACTTACTTGTGAAAAAGCCAAGGCATATAGCAGACGAAAGTGAAAACCGATATGTTGCAAACCATGCCACAATAGGCAAGACAGCAGTAAACATCAAAGCAATTGCTGAAGCTAGTGCCCATCCCAAGTACATAGATGTTGTATACGGAGAGTACGCACTGTTTTGGTCTACATTCCATCCTTTGTAGCCTAGATCATCTAAAGGCTTGGCAGATATAATGGCACCAAGAGCTACAACTGATCCAATAAATATGAATAGGCTGAGAGCAAGCAGGATGCGCTGAAAGAAAAACAAACAACAAAAACAAGACAAGAACCATGGACATGTTAGTAAAAAAAATATAATACTCGATAATCAGTACATTCATTTATAAATCTGCATACAGAAGCTTTGAAAAGGAAAGATGGCACTTCACATCTTATATTCTGAGATAGATTCAATCATAATCATGCTGGCAATGATTCAAAAATTATATTTGAGTCTACTGATACTTCTGATGCATTCATCATCAATCATCTGCTAAGTAGATTTACTTGGCCATTTATAAGAACCAACAGAACATGAACCGACTTCTGCATTAGCTATAGATGTGAGACCTCAAATAGCTACGAGGATTAAAATTGCCACTTTTCACCAGTACATTATATGTTGTACAGTGTGCTCAAGCATAGCCAAGTTATTTAAAAATTGTTCTGTATCTTACATTGTTATACACAATGTTCTTTACTCAATTTGTTTAGGCATGTGAACAATCTACAATAGAAACACATCATGTTGAAAGTATAACAACAAGTCAACAAGAATAGTCACAAAATCAGAGTTGTGAGAAATCTAATGGCAAGAAGATGAGAACAGTCCCAGAAAGAGAATGAATGCAGCTAACATGTCACCCACAAGAAAAAGGTGAGGAGGGGAATGAACAGAAAGGAAGAGAGAATTAAAACCATAGTATCATACTATCAGCAGATCCCAAATCAGTTGTATCCTGATATTAACCATATGAAGAAACTTCATTTACCATTAGATGCATTGCTCTCGTAAGCCCAGTGTATGGGTCCATTTGATATAAAATAACTATCAAATATGAAGAACAGAAAAATGAAGCTAAACTAGCATTTATCAATGACGCATATTCTCATACTCATGCATAACCTTGAATGAAACATAAATGGGGAATGTGTAAGATTCAAAGTTAGAAGAAACAGAAATCCTGACCTCCTTCCTAGAGGACTGCCGACTGTCAGCATGATTTTCAAGGTCTCCTGATATCCAGAAACGGTAACCATTACACTTCCAAATGGGAACAGCAACAGAAAGGCATGCCACCATGAGCGGGAAGGTCAAAGCCAATCCTAGTATCAGAGAGGATTTGCTACAAAATATACACAAACATAAGTAATTTGCAAAAAATTACAAAACATTGTCCATATAAAATTAACTGTCCATCAGAAGTAAAACAGATACATAAAATGTGCATAACACACAGAAGGAGAAAAGGGAGAGGGGATGGAAGTCATTTAACCGAGCCTCTGTCACAGCCCTCATGGTATCTCTGTGGCACTTTGTCATGCCTCCACTGACCAATGAATCCAAGAAAAAGTTGCAAAAATGGAAAACAAAAAGCAAGTAATTTCTCCTTGATCGGATTCTGATCAACCTAAACTTTTCCCTTTTTTTTCCATTTTCTGATGGCACAGTGGTTGCATTCATTAATTCAACATGAACAACCAATGTTCACAGTCAATGGAAACTAAATGCCTGGTGATAAATGTTTTGAACTAACTCCTCTTTCTTATAATGGAAGGGCTCAACCGTATGGGAGAGGAAGGGAGCTTTAGACTTTACACGATAAAGAGACCAGGCCAAAATGGCTATGCCAGATGTTTACGCAAGAATAGCTCACTAGTTCCTTTTACTTGAATTGAGATTGGCACTTGTGTGAAGGGTCTCTCCATACCATAGGGATCTCCTGATGAAGTCAATCGGACAAAGTAGATTCTCTCATAGAGTGCAGCGAATGTCACCATAAATTGATCCAAGGGTTAGCAGAAAAAATTAAGATATAGATTGCTGATAGATCACATACCAGACGCAGTGCATGATCGATGATCATCTGCTGCAAATTGCAGACATCAGGCATAACCATTGCTCCAAAGAGTGACCATAGCAACTGCTATCATGGTTTGTAAATGTATGTGCTATGCTAAGATTGCAGCAGTGCCATGAAACAGTATATAACGGGTGCCATAACAAGCGCTTAGGCAAATGGCAGCCGTATCACATGATAGGCCCATAGTAAGTGCTTAAAATTGAATGGCTCTAATAATCAACAAGTTCATCAATTTCAACTAAGAAGAACTCAGCTCAAGATAAAAACCTCAGATATTAACTTTTAAACCTTATTTTGTCCAAACAAAAAAGACCAATGGCTAGGAGGGCACAAATCCATCATTTTTACTGATAAATATGATAAATGAGTCCATCATCGCTAAATTTGCATATCATCTTTTGCTTTTGTCCACATAATTGATGAACATTAGTATTTTATTTCTTCAAGTTTTTCTGATTTCATAGTGGACAGCGGATGATCCTGGCACATTAGTGATATTTTGGTATGGTAATGATTGCGAATGATCATTCAAGGTTCTCAATTTCGGCTGCTGAATCCATGCCGGTCCATGGCCTTATCTCATTGTACTACATTGGTCTGTGCATTTCAACTTGCACAAATAAGGTACCAGTAATTCAAAATGTAGCTTTTCCATTAAGAAATAAACATTGAGATTTGAGAGCATACTTTATTTTCATTTGCTTTGGTTTCATATAAAAAGATAGTATATCCATGTGACCTGAGTAAAAATCTGAAAGTTGGCTTTTTAAATGATTCCATGAGTGACAAAATAACTAGCAGAAACAAGCATCTCAGAACCTGACAGAAACCTAAAGCTCACTATATTTGGCATACATGTTGGCACAACTCACAACGGTGACCTACTTGTAAAACTCTCATGTAGCATTTGTTTTTTCAAGATGGCATTAGCCCAATAAGTGGCAAACATCAAAAGTTCCTCAGAAAAGCTTATCATTTTTCTAGTTCCAAGTATTTTGTAAAACCAACCAACCACAGATTCAATCAAAGATACCCAAATGGGTTCCTACTAATTGTATATTACACTTAATTGTGGAGAATGACTTTACAGCTGGATGAAAAAACAAACACATAAAGGTCCATCATGAGAAAAGAAAATTGTGTACCTTAGGAAAGAGAGAAGCAAGCCAACACATGTACTCAAGAGCCATGCGATGAAACCATACTGAAGCACAAAAAAAGAAGTCAGGAAGGATCCAGCTAAAAATAATAAAAACACTTGCAAAAAGGTAAAGGACTATAGGTAAATGCTTTACTTTAACAGTTAGGCTAGACAAAAAGCACATCAGTTAGTATGAAAAACTATAAAATTTATTCTTGGACCAAATGTTTAGAGGAGTCAGAAACAAAAAAGGCACATCACATTAAACAAATGAAAGTTTAAAAAAACTTGAAGCTACAAAAGCAACTAAGCATGTATGATATTATACATTAAATAAAATTATAGAAATATAGTATCTAAGCTCAGTGTACAAAGCAAAATAGAAAAAGTAGACAGTACTACTTTAACCTTCAGAGACGTTCTGCTAATAATATAAGAGATTACTTTTTGTAATAAGCAATAGTATTCAAGAACTACAATTGTTCGTGTATCTGCAGTAAAAATCTTAACCCGAATCAAGAAACCAGATAACTGAAAATCACACCCAGCAATTACTGAGTTCAAATTACATTAAGAAAAGTACTTCTGTTCACAGCCTTCAAACAAGGTATATATATATATATATATATATATAACGGAAGAAACATTCTAGGTACTGAACTTATGTGATCTCCCCATGGGAGAAAATGAAACAATCATATTTTTCCAGCTTACCTTGCGAGGTCTAGATGTCATGGACATTCCTTCTGCATGTAGAGACCATAAAAACGCCATAATCGAACAGACAGCAGGTGACAGAAGAAGAACAGAAAAACCGAATTCAAACTGCAGATAAAAGAATAAGAACAAAATATAACACAATATGATAAGTAACAAATGAAGCTACTTCAACAAGTCCAATCATGAACAGTCAACAATTGACATACACCAATTTACCTGTTCATGTGTAGCATTAATAACCGTAACAGGCTTTGGCCGGAAAACTGACACAAGAACTGTCTCCACAATGAAGACCAAACTAAAAAGGATCCAGGCACGCTCAGCAGTACCAGCCATTTGATGCATCATAAGCCTGGAAATGTTGAGCCACTTCTCCAGCCCCCGTTGTCTGAGTTCTTCCGATAAAGATACTTGATTTGGGACAGTACTGTCCAGTCTACCTGAATCAGGTACTGCAACATCTGCAGCATCTTGATGATCTCTATCTGCATCCAAACTGCTTCTTTGAAGTAAGGATAGGATCCTAGGATCCAATCCCTTTTCCTTCAACATGAAAGCAAAATTTGGATCGAGACCCTTATCCTGAAGGAGGCTAGCCAGTTCATGGTCTGCAAGTCCAGCTTTTCTTTTCAAAATAGATGTGATCCTTGGATCATTCAGTCTGTCCTGAAAAATTAGAGCAATATTTAAGTCCAAACCAGCATGATTTATTAAAGTAGCACCTGATCCACTTGACTCGCAGCCTTGGCTCTCTAAGCCACTGCTCGAACAAACAAGAAGAGAACTGTTGTGATCAAGATGTCTATCAGCAGCAGTTCTGATCATTTCAGAATCATGAACAACAGGACGACATGAATTGCTACGTAGTGCTAAGCTTGCACTCCCGCAATCAACATTCTTGTCACAATTAACATCTTCTTGGCAACTACGAGAGCGACCAAAAAGCATACTGTTCCAATTACTGCTACCACTTGCACAATGAGAGTTACTTCCACAAATATCCTCAATAGAAGTAATATGGTGACCTGCTTCAACACTGCTGCTACTTCGTTTCACACTCGATCCACATCCTTCAGAAGAGCTTGAAGAACTATTCTGTCCTTTGCGCCGAAATCCTTCCCGCAATCGTATTACAGTACTTCTTAAAGCATCTCTCCTTTCAACCAGTGGGTTTGAGACAAACAGACGACGAGAAACAGCTGCAGCCAATAGCACGGATGCGACAAAAGCATAACTTATACAATGACCCAGGTACCTGAAAGGTGATATTAAGATAAACAAGATAAATGTAATATTGTTAACATTCACAGTATATCATGGGGTAAACGAACTGAAGATAAAGGTATACCAGTAATGAACTCCAAAGCAGATAAGAAATATTCTGGATATTCCAGCAACAAATAATGCCACCACCCGACTTCTAACTAGCTCAAATGCAAACAGGCATACCCCCATGTTCCAGTCTATCACAAAATGAAATGAATTGATGAGTTTTAATGAGAAATTCACATAGAATAAGAGACAAAGGAAAAGACAATATTAGAGTGAGCATTACCAAGAACCAGAACAGCAACTGAAGTCACTGCACCCAGCCAATGTGCTTCCTTTGCTGTCAAACCATATAAGACAGAGTACACAACAAGGCTGATCATGGAACCAAGATATAGAACTCCTAGATGTAAGACCCTGTGCAAACGCGTTCAAAGGGAAGAATGAAGATGTGAATATCTGGCACAAACATATCCAACAAAAATAGCCAGGTCATCAAAATTAATGAATCCTTCGTTGAAAAATAAACAGAACTTGCCTACGGGATTTCTGCATATACAACTCATTTGGATCTGGAGGTTCAGGTAAGCAAGCAAGAGGACCAACTTCGATACAATCTGAATATGCAAACTTATATGACTTTCGAACATATTCATCCACATCAAATCCACTTCCTAAGCATATGAAACATTTATTAGTTATGTGATCAATTGTAACATCAACACTTCCCAGATATTAAAGTGTATACATTTGCAGCTCCATCATTTTCAGTATAGTAACGTGATCAAATTAGAAGGAAATCTGAAAACATTACCATTAAAGACCATTCTGCAAATGAAGAGCATATTGATGGCTAGTGCAATTGCAGAAACACCAAAGAAGAATCCAGATGGTGAATATTGCTCAGAAGCACTTGCACCTGCTGTTACATAGACAGCACAAAGCTCATATGCACAAAGCAATGCTACAGCCAGAAGAAGAAGATAAGCAACTGCCCCTGCAATGCAGAACTCTCCACTTAGTGCAGCAAACAGAGGCCATGAGACTCAATCTTAATTATCACTGTCAATAAGAAGTCTCAAACTCAGAAATAAATTTCCTGACAAATGGACCTATTCAGCAGTCTGCAAACAGTGTTCAAAGGTAAATTCACTGTTCTAAGAGGAGGCAACCTAAGGGATTCCCAGTCGAAGCCTCACTGATGGCATGAGCAGACAAATAGGTCTTACAGCAATTGAATATTAGCCTATAATATTACTGTCAGCTGTATCTCAAACAAGGACAGTTCTTATCTAAGAAGCTTGTGATTAAACTTGGTGGTATGAAAAATTGAGCGAATTTCTATATCTTGAGTTGGTAGGGACCTAGGGATATCAGCACACTTGCACCTCCTCTGCTAACTTGCCGAGGCACTTTCATGTCCAAGTTATAGCATGTTAGTACTTTGTTACCAATCTCATTGGAGCCTATACATGCTCAACAGGCAACGCATCAATCTCCAAAGAGTACTTTACTATACTTTCCCTAATTTATATCACCACACACATTGCTAACCATAACTAATGCTGCCAATCCATCTCAGATAATCTTCACTAACTAAAAGTGCAACTCAGCCAAAAGTGTTTTACTCCCTTCATCATCCAACAATAACATGCAAAAGAAGGCAAGGCAAGCCACTACTATAAAAAAAAGGGTACAAAAAAACCCATGAAATCGAGAATGCTTATAATCCAAAAGAATAAGTAAAGAAGATAGCAAGCAACTACATGAATGAAATGGAATGAAATACAGATATTAAGAACTCAGATACAGATCATAAAGGATAACCTGATGAAACAAGAGTTACTAAGACAAGGAAGCCTAACTTATAGATCAAAATTCCTAACTGCAATTGCAGTACCAGAACAATTCTAATGGTTTTAGTGATTCACATAATATCAAGTGCCATGTACATGAAATCTAAAAATAATTGAATAAATCAACTACAATATTCAAAAGTTGGAGAGATATACATACTTGAGCTTTGCCATTGTGTCCTCCACCAAAGCATTATAGAATAGAATGCCAGCAAAAGAGCCGTGCCAGCCATTATTACAGCCAAACCGATTATATTCCGCCTCAGAAGTCCAATAACAATGGCTCCCCATGTTATTAGCACAACAATGGGAGAAAGAACAATCACCCATGCAAGAAATGACAACACATTGCTAACTGCACTTAACTGGGGCCCTTGTATGATATCTGGCCATTTTCTTGCATATATCCAACTGAAGGTTACACAAAAAAAGATACATATTATAAACACCAATGACAAGAAACAATTCGCAGTCAATAGTCAGCATAGTATCATGTAAGAGAAAAAACTACAGGTCACATGGCAAAGTGCAGCTTCAAATTGATTACCATTTTCTTAAAAAAAGGCAAACAATTCAATTTATTACAATCAGATATGTAGTTCATCAAATAAAAAGTATAGATCAATATAAAATACTGAATCAAATTTAAAAAAAAAAACATGACAGAGAAGCATTTAAGAATTACACAAAATTTACAGAAATCCTATCAAGCTATTATGGCCACATCTGAAAACCTGCCAAACCAATTAGGAGGCCAACTTGAAAGATGGGGAGATCTAATAGTCGTATTTGTCTCCAGTTCATGAAACCAAAACAGCCCATTTGAAGCATATTCAAAAAATAATCAAAACATTATGCCTTCCAGAATGGCAAGGAAAAGCAACATCATAAAGGAAAATCTCAAAGTTACATACTAAAGCAACCTATTATTGCAAATTAACACTGAAGCACATGATCTATTATCTCCCATCTAAATAACAGCAAGTCATTTTCACTTTAGAACAAATAACCAAAGGCATATGTAAGACAGACAAAGGTATGGGCCCACTGAGTAAGAATAGAAACTGATCAAACCAAGAAGTATTAACTTATGTACGATGAACAATAATTAGATTACTAGTTTGGCTCACAGAAGTTGGAACCACTTGAAATACTAAGTTTCAAAAGACTAAAAAGAAGTACAAATTAATAGTTTACACAATTAGCTAAAGTTTAATTGCTAAAACCATGCATGTAGGATGAACGATAGCCCAGCCCCATTGAACTTGAAGATGAAGCAAAATCTGATGTCATATTGGTCAATGTAACAATCAAGAGTTCTACAAGGAAAACATAACCATTGATTGTACATAAGCTCATTAGAAGCAAAAATATGACAATGCCAACTTGTTTAAAGACATACTAAATCCCAAGATAATTTCAGTGTAGCCAACAGTCCT